TTTGAAATTATATGGTCAGATACATGTATCAAAAGGCAGTAGAATTGTGGACCACTGCTTGACATATAGCTTACCGGCAAAAGTGCGATCGTGAGCATGATGCAGAATATGTACACTATAAATCTGCTCATCTGAACTCATCTCTTGTCTATTTCAGGTGTGATACTTGCTTACATCTATGTGAATCTTTGTGTTCGCTTCCTTTCGATGATTGATCGAAATAAGAATATTGCCGATGATGTGCGATATTGACTCGAAAAAGCACCTCTTCTACGTGGTTTGGGTAAAGATAGTCAACGTTATACTTACATTACCGTACCAACACCCACAAACCCATCCATGTCTATATTCACACTCAATATGTACTTCATGCACTAAATAGAGTCATTTGAATTCATATCTTTATTTTGCAATACATATTTCTTCGATTAATTAGATTACTTCATATCTTTCTTATATGTTATTTAGAATAAGAGATTCTTGATCTTATGTAAGCTGATAACATATGTACTATTTTATTTTTCTTGAATTCATACTATTACTTGATAGTTTGCCTTTGTGCTTTAAAAATTGAATACATATGAGCTTTGGGTGTGGATGTGAATGTAAGTGAATAGAAGAGCATACCCACATACATACCTTAGCTCAAGATAAGAGTTGTAAATTGAAGATGAAGATGAATACTCTTTTTTTATGTGTATTTAATTCTTATGGTAATCGACCTCACTAGTTTATTTTTGTCTCTTTTTACATGGAGAGATAGAGCAAATTGAGGCGAAATTTTGTTTTTCGGGAACACCATTCAAAAGATTACTCGAAAGGTTTTAGAGCTTTCAAAGGTTCTCTTCAGTGAAAATTGCTGGAATGACTCCAACACATATTGCTTGCGTGATTCGAATATATGGTTATGGATGTGAGTATGATCTTCTATTGCCTTACATCCACACCGACACCCAACATCTACATCACACGCCTTAATTGAAACAGATCGTAAATGAATCGAAAATAGCGCTCAAGCATTTTTATGCTCTCACAATTTTCCAACATCGTTACGCTTTGATGGTTATGACTTTTATTATGATATGTAATGTATATGACAAAATGCAGATGGTGACTCATGTGATAAGAATCTATGTGATAGATGGTTCCTGTTCAGTAACCTGTCAGACGGCATACTATGATCATAAGAAGAATCGAATCGAATCGTAAATGATGAGAAAAGGAAAAAAAAACAAAGTAATTGTACCCATATGAGAACCATTGAACTAATGTGTGACTGTGTCATGAAAGATGGACACCGTCATATTTTATAATTATCACTATTGATTCTTATTTACTCTTATCGAATTTTTTTCCAAAAGATTCGTCGTTCAATTCTTCGTAGGCATCTATATAACGTAAAAAGTTTTTCTCGTGCCGATTGATCATTTTCAATAAATATTATGTAAAAATCTGCTGATGTTTTCGAAAGCAAATAGCCTTCAAGTAGTTGCGAGTGTAACTTATGACAGGGACCATATCCACATTCATTCAGAAAAATTTTAGTAATAAAGTAGAAAAAATACACAAAGCATCAGAGAAAGGGTAATCTGTCTCTACTTCATATCGTTTACCATCTGAAAGCACATATGAAAATTACCTTTTCAATGAAAAAAAAAATCAATGAACAGCATGACCCTCTTCACTAAGAATTAGTGGGCACTGAATTTTTTTCTTCTAAAAGTACTTAAATTCTTTTTTCTAGAAATTCAAGTTTTGTGACAGACCACCAAATATTTCAATTATGCTCACCTAATTTTATTGTAAATGAAATGGGAATTCGCACTTATATTTGTCCGACATTGAAAAGCATCCTTATCAGAAAAACACATATCGTTAAACGATGCAATTGAATTAATAAGCTTGCTATGTCAATATATGGATGCTCCCATTATTGACTAATAATCAACATAGACTAAAAGAAATTAATACCACTTCGTTTTTAATATTACTATGAAAACGTTATATGATGTATTGTTAGATTGAATAAGCACTTCAAAAGATTCTACTACACTTGTTAAATCATTTAATCTATAAACACCAAACTTTGAATTCTAACGAATTCAACCATCAATTCTGTTAATATTTATAATGAATACTTTATCTGTCATCATCACATATATATATATATATATGTCAATGAATAAGTTGATATTTTTCTGTGAATATGTGCACATTTTTTCCCCATGAAATTGAGCATTTTAGTATATATGCTACTCTCTGCTTGTATATTGCAAAGAAAAAAGAGACAAAACATTTTTTTTCACTTTCCCTTTTTCTTTCGCTGTGCACTCATCGTATGCTAATATCGTCCATGAATGTTTGTTTTTCTTTCAAAAAAGAAACATGTTAATTGATAGTGTGGCGTGTCTTCTTCATTTTTTATTGGAAAAAACCAAATGAAGTATGTGAAATTGTGAACAACGAGAGCAACGAAAAATAAAACGAACGGAGTACCGATATCATCATTTTGACGTTATGGTGATGATGAGACTATTTAAAATAGTTTCTTTTTTGTTTGGTAAATTATTGTTTTCTCCATTACGGGCTACATATAATGTTATCATTCGATATTTTATTAATCGTAATCGTTTCCAACTGCAAACTAGTCGTGACATCGATCAATATCAAATACCATTCGTTTGGTATGGTGAAAACCATCTATTGAGAAACGAGATATAATTGAACATTCTTTGCGCAAAATTGATTCAGATCTTATTTTTTTTCTGATTCAACTTTGCGTTCAGCGACTGTGAAGAAACTTCATCATCTTTTCTTCTGATAAAACAGACAACACTGATTTAGCTAATCAATCCAAAGTTAATAGCATTAGTGATTCATCTTCAGATTTACTTGACTGCGTGAAAAATGCTTGGAAAACAGTTGAACATGGTTATATTAAAGAAGATGAACAGGAATCGTTACGAAATCTTACAAAAGAAATAGCTCCATTTTTGTGGTTTCACATATTTCGAAATGTTGTCAGCCATTTTCACAAGTCTAATCAAGCTACGAATGATATGATACGTCGTTTGCAAGAATATTTTTAGAAACAATGACCTTCAATTGAATAAAGTACAACAGTTTGCTAAAACTTATCAGTTGAATAATATTTTTTGGTGGTATACTCAATCAAACTTCATTTCTGATGTTATTAACAAAGCCTTACGTTCTGTGGATCTGGACGCTTTGTTTCATTTGCGGTATTTCATTATTGATCTTTGTCAGTTGCTTAAAGAAAAACGATATTCAAGAGTTGAATTCTTCGCCTGTCGTGGTGTTCTTATGGATAGAAATAAGCTTGAAAGAATGCAAACCTCAATTAATGAAAAGGAGCTATTATCCATGCGTGGTTTCTATCTACATCCGGTTCACGGCAAATAGCTGAAATGTTTGTTTTTTTGCAATAGCAATAACGATCTGAATAAGGTATAATATTGATAAACAGATGAATAATCAACATCTTCTTTTTATTAGTTTAGGTAGAAGTCATCTTGAAAATTTATGTTGCCTCCAATTTACAAAATATTGTTTATGCTGATATTAGCGGATTGAGTCCATTTGAAGAAGAAGAAATTCTTTTTGATCTAGATTCAACATTTGAGTTCAAATGTATCGTACCAGATGTGACAAAATCAGATCGTTTTTTATTCAGCTTTGTACTACTGATCGGGGCTGGCATATGACGGAAAATGTTACTTTCAATAATCAAGAACTAGATAAACTAGCGCCTAAATTACTGTTTGGAAAACTACTCATTGAAATAGGCAATTCGGATAAAGTCATTGACTATTTTCAACGACTATTGAACCAATTGAAAGTTCAATCACTAGGTAAACAAAAATAATGAATTTTTTATTTTACATTGATTTTTTTCAATACATTAAACTGCACAATGTATTATATATCGCATATCATATTAAGTTAACCTAAGATAAATGCGAGAAAAATGAATGCTTTTTGTGTTTATGAAAGCATAAAATAATTTTTTGTATCATAGTATCGCAATATAGTAATCACGCAACTCATTGAAAATTTCTGTAACGAAATAAAAATGTGATTGCCATAGAGATCAACTTTATTTTATAACTGAGCAACAAACAATTCATACACAAATATGATGAACAGAAACTGGAAAAATTTATGTCTTACTTTCGTCACTTTTAAGTTTATAAAAATATTAACATGCTTCGAGGGGGATAATCATCGTCTGTTGTGAAAGACTAAGAATAATTGACAGAATAATCTGTTCTGTATGCAAAAAAAAATTGACGTTTCATATAATTTTTTTTCGAAAATGACGTGACCATAAAACATTTATTTTCTTTAGAAAGTACATTCGTTGTAACGCGGACCATACATAGCATCGTATTAAATAATATCGGTCATGCCTGGTACAAAAAAAAGGTGATTTATCAAAGCAATGCAATATTTTGATGAAGCACTCGTTCTTCCACAAATCGAACCGATGTTTACTAATCGAATTTTTGATTCAATAAACAACAAAGCTGTTACTTTGATGGAGAAGGATGAATATGAATTAGCATTGGAAAAATTTCAGAAAGCCGTTGACATTGTGACTAATACCAAAATTAATGAGAGCTTGTCATACGTATTTACCAATATAGGCATCATTAAAACGCAAACAGATGAGTATCAGAATGCTCTTGAGCTGTATCAGCGAGCAGATGAAGTAATGGTAGTAGAGGGTAAATACAAAGATCATCCGGATGTGGCTAGAAACAAATTGAATAGTGCACTTGTTTATATGGCTCAAGCGAGATGGTCTGAGGCCGAAAATATGTTAAATGAAATCAAAAAAATCTATGAACGTATATTGCCAAGAACCCATTCGGACATTGTTTTCTATTGACGTTCTCTACAGATCACAAAGACGTTACGATGAAGCCCTTGAGAATATGAGACAGGCACTGAATATATATGAAAATTCATACAAACAAATGCATTTACACATTGCAGACACTTACAATTCCATGGTCAATGTGAAAGCTGTACAGGACCAATATATTGAAGCATTGTCTCTTTATGAGAAAGCTTATGAACAATTTCGACAGCTCTTTGGAACTGATAAAAATGCCAATGTTGGTCGAGTACTGAACAATATAGGACAAGCATATCGTCATCTAGGTCATTTACCAGAAGCACTCGAGTGTTTAGAAAAGGCTTTGCGCATTCGATAGGCTACTCTAAGTGTCAATCATCCTGATATGACTACAACATGGCTTAATTTAAGTCAGATTTATCAAGCACAAGGTGATTTGAGCACTGTATTAGAATGTGCAAGATGTGGCCTGACTATTCGGCGAGATAAACCACCGATTGATAATGAAGATTTGCTGGAGACAGAAGACTTTGTTCTTGAGTTGGAAGGAAAGATTTCTGTCTCGATTGACAGTGAGCGACAAGAGAATCGAATACTGATTTGTAAAATAGGAAGAAAGTGAACTCAACGAAGCCAAACGAGAAAAAAATAAAATTGTGATTTTGATTTTTAGCACAGAATCAAAGATGTGGAAATCTCGAAAAAGAAGCCAAATATAAACTTTTTTTATGTGAAAATATGCGTTGTAATAGTAACCAAAAAATGGCGTGGATGTGTATGAAAAAGGCAATTACGCCTACAGCTAGACCAATACCATATTAGGTTTAGATCAGAAACTTTTTGTTGAAAATGGAGTAAAAAAAATAAGTCATTTGATCATACTCGTTTTAGAACTCACTCTGCATAACTGTATTCTTGCTTCTTTAACCATTTGTAAAGATAACGATCTTCTAACAAATCTACCAAGTAAAATATGTGTTTAAACCAAAATCTGCACTTTCTAGTTAATTTTTAGTGAAGAGACGTACAGAAACACACAAACTTTGGATCGTTTGTATGAGCTATAGACTTTAATTAGCAGAGTAGAGCGATTTCTGTGCTATAAAATTAGTGGATTCGAATAAAGCCAAATCAAATCTAACACAGATTTAGAAAAGGTGGCCGATTCGAATTCGAATTGAGATTTATCTCATTCGTTTCGGCCTCTGTTTGCAATAGAGTTAGGCTATTGAGCTTGATTACAGAGCGTGATAGACATTATGACATGTTGCTTTTCAATCTTTGCATCGACCATGAGGAATAGAAAGAGGGTGCTCATGTCAAGTTAAAACAATTCCATTATGTTCCACATTTTAATCGTTTTGGGATTGTGCGAAAAGCTTTTTCCGTCATCCTCATTTTCAAGGAATTAGTATAAAATAGAATCCATCTCATTATACAGATAATTAAGATATGGATGTATCAACAATCTCTAAAACTATTGTAGAATCTACTTTTGATCTTTTCACTAACAAATGCATAAAAGTTATATGTAATGGTCTTGTACTCTGAGGACAAGTGGGTCGACACTTAGAAAGCATTACTCGAATTTTATTTATTGTCGACATTGAAAAACTCACATGTAACGATTATTATTCTTTTCAATTATTTCGCAAAGAAAAACGAAGGAAAGAGAAAGGGAGTGATAGAAAAAAGAAAATTCTGAGAAGCAACTGAGATCAGTTGCTGATTGCTTGAAATAACAAAACCAAAACACAAGGGTGTGGGTGTGGGATCTTTTCAGTCATAATTAGCATCCAATCAATGAAGTCTATGTTTCACGCACACATATTTCTATAAGTATCTCACTAATTGAACGATCACTGTCAGACTATGAAAAAGAGAAAAATATCAATGTAATGGTATTTTCAATTGAGACTCGTAGTCTGAAAGACTTGGGTTTGCATGTCAGAAACGATCTTTTGGAATATTCTGGTTCTGCAGGGCATCACAAGATATATGCACAATCTTCTTCCTATTGAGACATATCTACATATATGATTAAATTATTACGAAAAGGTTACAGCTCAAAGGATGGGTGTGGGGTACTGGAGTTGGTGCAGTGTGGAATGTGAGTATAGCTCTTCTATTCTTCAACACCTACACCCAGATCCTGAACGTTTACGGAAATAGCTTCCAATAACATTCATTTGTGGATTCGTTAACGAAGAAAAAAAAATACCGATTGGATTCGAAGTTAAATTTTTATACCTTTTTGAACCATGCTGAACTCATCATTGATTTTTTTCGAATAACTTTGTTGAAGTGTAAAATTGATTCACTAGAAGATGTATAATCAATCTTCGTCTAATGTAGATATTTCGACCTCGGAATATTTCAATAATACGTCAACTGTTGGTTCTTTTTCTTTCGAGAATAAAAAAATAAATCATAGAAATTCAGAATAATACTAGAAATTAAATGCGGATTTATCATTATTTAATTTTAGAATAAATTAACGATTTCATCTGACTCGAGCAGTTGCTTGAATAAGTGTTAATTTAATGCTATAGAATACTAACAGATATATGAGAAGCTTGATATCTGTTTTGTTTTATTCTAATAATGTTGACGCGTACATATACATAAAAGAAAAGAAATCGAAAGAAGTGAGAGACAGAGAGATCATGAACAGAATGTTAGTTATGAATTAACATTCATACTAGTATAGGACTGATGCTTATTGATGAGAAGATCATTTAAAAACTAAAAAGACAAGATCGAAAATACTACAATTGTATTGTTGTCCAAAGTAAATATTATTCTCTACTTTTCTGTATGTTCTTTTATTTGAAATCTTTCTTGCATGAAAAATATTTTATGATTACTATCTCTGTCTCTGTCTCTTTGTTTCAATTTTTTCTTTCACACAAGATTTTGATATTGTTTTGTCTTCGTACACATAAACTAATTGAAATTTATTGTTTTTATTCTTATCGATTGGAATTTATTTTATTTATTATTTAAAAAATATTTTCAAATGAAATCATAAGTGTAAGTTTTAGGGCGAAGATTTTGCGGCTCGTTATCTCTGTTTCCATTGTAAACATCAATAATTAGGCTCA